GGATGAAATACAAGAAGAGTTAATTGAAATGCAACATGATAGTAACTGCAAGGATACATTCGAGACAGGAATTAATCTTAAAGATTTTTGGAGCCAAAAAGCTATTGCTTTCCCTAAAATTCGAGAAATTGCTTTACAGTGCCTAACTTTATTTTCAACCACATATTTATGTGAGCAAGGATTCTCAGTGCTTTTGATAATTAAAAATAAACATCGAAATCGGTTGGATGCCAGTGCCGACATGCATTTGCTTTGAGTAGCACTGAACCAAGAATTCAACAGTTGGTAAAGAGTATGCAGTCACAAAAATCGCACTAAAATAATATAATTAATGTAACACTTCTGCAAATAATATAATACTCTTGGTTCCGAATAATTTTCTATCTGTTTAATTTATAGAACAACCTTATAAGAACCTATATTACTGCCAAACAGCTCGTGGTCCATGGCAAGACAAAAAGTTATGATAAATGGTCCCTCATCACTAGAAGGTTAAGAACCACTGATTTAGAACAAGGGACTCGTACGTCATCGCGTCTGTAGAATCCTGAACCGGCTCTTGTATACTATTGGATGTCCTTCATCAGTAACTTGTAAAAAGTTTCCATCATAGCAATACGAAGCTTGCTTTATTATATAAACTGTATTATATTGCTGTTATATATACTGTATATATAACACAGTAAGCAGAAGTGTGTGTATATGTAACTATACATATAATAGCATTTTACACCTAACATTAGCACTAAAATATAGAACAATATAACAAATAATACTGTATTAATATATAACATATAATGTGTATTAAATATACAATACATATAAAACAATTTACAAAAACACAACACATACACACACACACACACATATATATATATAATGTATTTTATATATATAAATTCATCGCTGGCTTTCGAATAGAACTTGAAATCGTCATCATATATCCAGTACGATCTGAAGACAAAGATCCTGTGAGCGATTAGAAACCCTATTGTTCATGTGTTATTTCACAATTTGTACAACTTTTATATTTGACCATTTTTCCTTGGGGCTAAACAGGTGGTCTATTTAATTTCGTTTCCTTTTCTGCATTAACTCGCCACTAACACTGTTCTTATTACTCCTAGGGCATTAAACCAGCAAGACAAAAGTTAAAAATAGAAAGAAATTAGAATACGTATTCTAATTCCATCTCGGACCGGTAACGTTCCGTTGACAATTTTGAGTGACAGTTTGCTTTTTAAATTGTTACCACCCTGTGGCGCTAAAAGAGCCTTGTTAGCAAGCTCATTATGAGTTCGCCTAAGGTCACAATGGAGCGGCCAGGTGGTGAGGGATGGGAACTGGAAATATTCCCAGATTGACCATTCCGAATTTTTTTTTTTTTTTTCGGACCGTCCAGATCGATCCCGGGTCCCCTAGAGTGGAAAGGCATCGGTAACCGTTTGGTCATCCGGCCGTCTTTGAAGATTGAATGACGCTTAGAATTTTAACCACACGATTTTCCTAACTCGGTCACCTGACCAGGAAGAAAAATTTTTTAATATATTAATTTTAAATTGTTAGAAAACGAGAAGTAAAATTTTTTTAAAATAAATAATATATTAACTTTCGAATAATAGTAATTATTATTATTGAATAGATATGTTTATCGGCAAGTATCATTAAATTAAATTTAAAATAAGTCGGAAAGCGTATAAAGATATGTAGATGGCATTAGTAGTCATAAATGAGTCACGTGACGCATTCCGCCAAATAAGGTAAAGCTTCTCGGAATTGCAAATGTCGTTTGGTAATCATTCTAAGTAAACATTTTCCAAGTCTTTTTGTTAAAATACTATATAGTAAAATCATTTATTTAAATTCTACGTAATCGAGAAAATTTTTAGTAAGTAATTCAGATTATTATATTTTAAAAATTCTTTATTCAGTTTAATTTTAAACGTGATCAGTTTATTTGTTTATTTTCTGTTTTCATATGACGGATGTTGTTATATTATATTTAAATATAAGTTTTGTGATTCTATCCGTGTAGAAATATATCGATAGTAGTCATAAAAACACATTAATTACAAACAGTTTATATGAAAATCCAATTCAAGGTTATGACATTGAATTTTTAGACAGAAATATCGCAAAGTAATTCATATTAGCATTCGACAATAAAACTATTAAAATTATTTTAAAAAGGATGCTAATTTGATGTATACATTTATTAATAAGCATAGTTTAATTAATATTGGATTGATATTTTCGTATTTAACTAAAAAAATTACTGTTTTTATTATTCATTTATTATAATGTTTAATAAATTTTGAATTCTGAGCTTAAATATAAATTATTTAAGGCAATAATCAGATTTGAATAGTATATTTAGTTATAATTTGCTTTTTGGAGAGTTGGTATTAAGTAATCAATGAAATATATGATCGTGGAATTTTTGTTGTCTGATATTGTTTGCTACCTGCGATAAGTTTTATCATCATCATAAATTGTTAATATGTTTCAGCTTGATTGACAGAACTGAACAAAAATATTTGTACTTTATAATATTTACATTTAATTTTAAGAAAACAAAATAACTAATAATTTTCTGATTTAGTTTTGTTTCAGTTTACATCAATTATTGAAATTTTTTTACTTTAATACTTAAAAGAAAATCTTAAAAGTGAAAAATTTAAGATAAGTTTTTCACTTTTTTAAAATATCTACCTATTGTATATCTATAGTAGATAATTAGATGATTAACCATGTTACTATTCATTATGTTTAGTGACATACAGAACAAGAGATGGCATGCACTGCAGAGAAAACAGGTGCAATTTCAGTTGAATGTCTATTATGTGTGAAAGGTAGATCAATTGGATACTTGGCATCAGATAGCTGACAACCAGATAGGTATGAAACTAGCCTAATGATTCAAGTTTAATGAAGATGCATACTGTTTTCATTTTTCTGCAAAAAGAGAGTTATAAGGCTGCATGTGAAGCTTGTGAATTAATTGAAAGTTAAGATTAAGTGACTGGAATTTCTAAAAATATTTGTTGAAAAAGAAACATTGGAAGGGGAAAAAAACCAGGTAGCATTATAATAAGAGAACAGATGAATAATGCATTATAAGAATATAATAAATATTTTAACTCTAAAATATGAATAATAAATAGAAAATTCTTTATGCGGAGTAATATATAAAAATTCTTAACATTCAGAATGTTAAGAATGTTTATATGTACTTTATTACTCCATATAAAGCATTTTCTACTTAATATATGGTATTTATATAGTATATGAATTATAAGAAATATTAAATATTTATTGGATTATTTTTAGTTTATATGTAAAAAAAGTAAAATTAATTTTAATCAAAATGAAGCATTTACTCCTGTTAACAATGCTGTCAAACAGCCATTCCATATTGAAATGTTTATAAAAATAGTCTATAACTGGTACTTATTATTAATCAATATCACATTTTCCTTATGTCTCTCCCAGCAAAAGTTTAAGCTGATAACATTAGTTTCTAATATTTTATGGGCCAATATTTTTGTTTATAATAAAGTCTAATGAAGACATAAGGAAGGTTTGTTATTGATTAATTTAAAACAGTTTAATTATTTTCAATAAAATAATTGCTGATGTAAATAAAATAAAACTGTCCTTCAATGTTACTTACATTTTTATGGAAGAAAGAAAATTAAGTTATAGAAATTCTCTATTGAAGTCCTTGTAACTTACATTATTCCTTCAAAATGTTGGAAATTATTAGTAAATACATATACTGTCTTCATGATTTAAAAGTATTCAATATAGGAGAAATTTACTCAATTAGATGGTTTTTATTCCACTTTAGAAGATACTGTACACCAGGGGTGTCCAACCTTTTTGTTTCTCTGGGCCGCATTGGAAGAAGTCATGGAGTTTTGGGCCACAAGTATATATAATATATACTTGTGGTTCAATATACAAGTATATTTAAGGATTAACATGTCTAGATTATAATAATAAGTATTAAAACTTTATCACGAAATAGGATATTTTAAAAAATTACTTCTACAGACACTTTCAATTTTTACTTAGAAATAGATAAATTCATTTATTTGATAAAACGTAAATATTTGCTTTATTTGAGTCTCTGATTAATAAAAAGCGACGAAACACCATTTTAAAGTGCATTTTTATTCGACTAATATATTTATAAATGATATGTAGCCCCAAAAGTAGCCAAAGCGCCAAATGATATTTTTTTACGTTAAACTAAAAAAAGTAGCCACATTTGGCGCAATGTAGCCAAATCTTGCAACGCTGGAAGGAATACTAAATAAAGATGGAGTTTTGACTCAAAGGATTATAGAGCCAAATTCGGAAAAAGAAGAGAAAGGACAAAAGATAAAGAAGCGAGAAAGGTTGGAAAATTAAGACTCAATATTTGCCTAACAGAAGAACTATTTAACCTTTCTGACAACTTTTTATCTTTTGTCCTTTCTCTCCTTTCACCAAATTTGGGTCTATAATCCTTTGAGTCACAACTCCAGCTTTATTTAATAATCCTTCCTCATTCACACATCTCCAAATACATGAAAATATTTCATTTCCACTCAAAACTAAAATATGAATAAAGGTTTATGGCTTTGTGAAACTTCTTTTCTGAGTTTATGCCGTTGAAATAAATAAATAATAAAAAATTAAAACATTTGTCGGTTTTGTTTATACCTTTATTGGGCCGCATTGGAACTTGCCTTGGGCCGCATGCGGGCCGCGGGTTGGACACCCCTGCTGTACACAATGAGCATATTTAAGAGAACAAAATATTCTTTTGTGCAACTAGATTGAAATTCCTTTACACTTTGATTAGATGGCTTGTAGGTTTCAATTTCCATTTTTTTACTTCATTCACATTGTATATTTATTTATTAGAGGTAATGGCATTAGTTCAGTTGTGCAATTTAATAAACTTTATCTCTACATTAGAAACCCTTCTATCTGTGATTACAGCTTTATCAATTCAAAATAATTTTGACTATTTTACTTGTTTTTTGTTTATTTATTATCTTACCTAACTTGTTTTTACCATTAAATAAATTTCTGATAACTTATGTTTGCTCTTTTTTCATTTTATTTTATTTCTTACTTAGCTGATATACAACATAGAGAAAGTATGATGATTTGTCAAATTCTAACTTGTCAAGAAATTCAAGATAACTGTCATCTTAATGTTCTAGAAGCCCAAAAACATAAAAATTTCTTATAAAATCGTGTTTGTGTGACTGTCAGCATGTATTTTACATTATATTTCAGGACTGGAGATACCAAAAATTTTGAAACTTGGCAGAATTATTTCTATGTATGGATCATTGATATTATTAAACTTCAGTGATTAAGGATCAAGGGGGTTGGGAGATAGAAGGTTGTCTCATATCTTGAGTGGTTGTCAGACTTAATGAAAGTTTTACTCATTATTGGCAAATGTTTAATAAAATCTCATCTTACTCAAAAATAATTCTCTTGCTTTTTATAATCTATACTAATATTATAGAGGTAATGTTTACAAGTTTGTATGTAGCGGGTAATCTTCGAAACTACTCATCTGATTTCAAAAATTCTTTCACCAATATTTAGAATGGAACTTCAGAGTGGACGTAGGCTGTATATTATTCCGTTAAACATTGATATAAATTAAAAGATATCATCTAGGGTTAAAGCTTTTATGTTTAACAGATGGCGCTACCTAAGTTTGCTTTTCTGTGAGCATGAACTAAAGCAGATCATCTTCTATCTATATAAATAAAAATGTAATGTTCATTTGTTCCTACTGATTGCTTTGAAATTTTGACACAACGCTGCATTCGAATATGCACGTGTTTTTATATGATATATATGTCGATATTCCCCCCGCAGGGGAGAGGGATAGGATTAAGGCTTACCGTGAAGAACTTGGCTTCTATTATACTATTTTAGATGTGGTTTTTTGTGTTTTTGATTGTGTTTTAATAGGGTACATGAAGTGAATGTACACTAAAAAGGAATTTTTCGAAAAATTCCCCCCATGGAGGAAGTGTTATACATTTATAATAGAATACATTTTGAGCCACAACAACACGTGGCGGGGTCTGCTAGTAATTAATAATATGAAAATTATTAAAAAAAACACTTAAAGGTAGAAAAGGATATAAGTACAGTACTCATAAACACCTTCCATACTGGTTCCAGCAGATAACTATTTATAAAAATTATTTCATAAATAAAATTTCATAACAAATGGCACTACACATAATTTTAACCTTGAGGCTATTCAGTGTTTTCTGAACTTAGATTTCACTATTTAAGCTTTCATTATTAAATTAAATTTTATACTGTAGTATAATTGAAAATTATTGCACTTCCTCCTGGTCCCTTTTAGCATCATATCTTGGCTGTGATAAAATTTAATGAAAGTTTTAGTCATTATTGGCAGTTACAATAGTTGAAACTTATCTCTGTCATTAAAAGTAAGTCTTTTTTCCTTTTTATAATTAACCCTGCGTTAGTGCACTGAGTTTTTTTTCGGCATTAGTGCAGTGGGGCGTTTGTCCACCCCGACATTTTTTTGGGTCCATAAACCATGTAAGTAAAAATTCATAAAGATTTACTCATTTATTTGGTAAAGGCATGTGTCATTATACATATGATTATATTCAGGTATGATTACATATTATATTAGTACATAAATCCACGAAAATAAAAAACAACATTTATCAAAACTCATTACATTAGATCTTATTATTAAACCAATAGTAAAAATCTAAATTGTTTTTTAAGCATTTTTGTCACTCTGATTCAATAGCTGACATTGTACTTTGGCACTCAGTGCAAATGACAAGCAACTTGCTATGTTTGGTATTTTCTCAATGT